AAACTCCCAATGTGATCGCACAACCAATCAGTGTATATGTAATACAGGATACTTTACTTTCCACGGATCGTGTGTCTGTAAGTAAATAAAGAATTAACACTGTATTACTGTCAGCAGCGTAAGTCCATTAATGCTTTTTTCTTATAAGATATATTTCTCACGTAATTAATTTGGTTTTTTTATGAACTCTCGACTCTGTTAAAACATTTTCCAAAAATATCAAAACCTGTGAACGTGTATATTAACTTTTTTTTAAAAGTGCGTGTTATGTTGTTGTAAAAACAAAACGCAGAGCGAAATATTTTGAGCTATTGATGATCTTGTTACATTTTCAATTAGGTGGGATATTTCTTGAAAATAAGCTATACGTCATAGTATCTATGAAGATACATCATACTAAATTTCCAATTGTCAAAACCTTTAAATTTACAGTGCCATGCGGGGGAAAGTGTGGACCAAACGCCCGATGCGATCGCTTGCGCAACCAGTGTGTATGTAACACAGGATACTTTTTGTACCACAGTTCATGTGTCTGTGAGTATAAACAGAAATCATACTGTATTGACGATAGTAAACGATGTTTGCCAATTCTTTTCTTCATTATATTTTTTACAGATAACAATTTTAATGGTTATCCCCCATATCTCTTTACTTATTAGCGATTATATAACACGTGTGAAAGTATATATTGTTGGAAACAACACATGGTGTGCTACAAGGGAAAATAGCTAAGCATCATCTTTTAACTAATCGATATTGTTTTCATATTTTCAATATGGTGAGATTTTTCTTTAAAATTAATAATCGTGGGCTAATTTATATGTGAATGCATTATATCAACTCTTCGTGAATAACATTGTACAGTGCCATGTGGAGGACAATGTGGACCAAACTCCCGATGCGATCGCTTAACCAACCAGTGTGAATGTAACACAGGATACTTCACCTACCACGGATCATGTGTCTGTGAGTATATATACAGAAGTCATTCCGTATTTCTTATATCAACGAACGCCAAACCGTTGCCTTGTTTTTTGATTATGTATAAAGATAAAGAACTTAAAATATATAACCGGTAATAACAGATGTCATTGTAACCCTGTCTTTATTGCTTTGTTCATTACTTTTAAATCTGTATTATATAAGAAGCTCTTAATATATAACTGATATTTGTAGTTTCATCAGTCCAATTCCATTTATTTGTTATTCTTTAACAATACCACTTTACAACACTTGCGTATGCTTGTATATCGGGGAAAAAACATGCATTCTGTGTAAAATAACATAAACAAATCTTATCGATAGGGTGTAAGTGTATTTATTTGTTTTCAATAAAGTAAGAAAATACCAAAATCCGTATTAAAAGGTAAGAGTAAATCGCAGATGATTTCGAGTACATGTGGGTTTTTTTCATTATTACTATCACTTATTTACAGTACCATGCGGAGGACAATGTGGACCAAACTCCCGATGCGATCGCACAACCAACCAGTGTGTTTGTAACACAGGATATTTGTCATACCACGGATCGTGTGTTTGTAAGTAAACCAAGTATTCCAGAATGTATTACCAAAGGTTAGAAACGACAATCAAAATATTTCCTGAATGTATATCTCTTTACACAACCGTTAAAGGTTCAGTACTCCTACATGTATTCTGTATTAACCAACAAGTGTGTATGCAAAACAGGATGTTTTTCATACCACGGATCATGTGTTGGTGAGTATATGCAGAACATACACTGGATTGAAGATAGTTACTAACATACGTCAAACAGTTCCTTTACCATGTTGTTTTGTTTTGTTTCACACAACCTTTATAAGGATTAATACACGTATATCTTGCCCTTGTTCAATCTTGTGATAAAATCAAATGCAAATTTTGAAAATATACTTATTTGATATTAAATTCATTCATTCATTCATACATTCATACATTCATTCATACAATACAATGTACCCTCTGGCACTCCTGTATAACAGATGAGGATTAATAATTACAAAACAATCAATGTAAGTTGTGTATAAGGGTATACACATTTATTCAAACATTTGAATCATAAGAAGTTCCTAAAAGCATGTATCAAGCACATTCAACTGCTTTAAAGTAAATATAAATTACGGTTTTCATTGCAGTACCATGTGGAGGACATTGTGGACCCTACTCGCATTGCGACAAAGTCAGAAACCAATGTGTCTGTGACACAGGATACGTTCTGTACAAAGGAGCATGTGCTAGTATGTTTTGTTCCCGATATTCATTTATTATTCATATATATATTTATATATATATGTGTACTCTTCGTGCTCAGGACCCCTGTTCCATTGCATTGAAGTTTTTCCAATATACATACCCTCACCGTTTTGATAAAGATGTAGTAAAGTTTGGCCAGGAAATTATCTTTGACCAGGTAGCTTATTGGTTAGTGCGATAGTATAACAGGTGCGGGGTTTGAATCATGGTCTGGGTCCGATAATTTCTTATACTGTTGTTGTTTATATTTGGTTTATTTCGTCTTTATTTTTTCTCATAAAAAACCCGCAAGTTGTATTTCTTTTCAGAAATAATTTATCAAAGATAAAATCATGGGCTAGAATAAACATTGTCTAGTCCTTACTTACAGTCTTTGGCAGCCGTAGGGATGCATAAGTCCAAAAATATGCACTGTCAATAGTCCATTTTTTTTCAAATTTTTCTTATGATTGTTTATTTACACCTTAGAATACTCAGTAAGCGTTAATAAATATTGCATATGTAAATTATATATGATTGGTTTAATTTGCAAGGCAAAATTATTTATCTTGCAGTTATGTAAAGTATGTCAATATATTAATGTTATTATATTAATATATATATTTATATTTGCAGTGCCTTGTGGAGGATCATGTGGATCAAACGCCCGATGCGATCGCTCCACTAACCAGTGTGTATGTAACACCGGATACTTCTTGTACCATGGATCATGTGTTGGTGAGTATATAAAGTTTTCATGCTGTATAACCGGTCAATCAAACTAACCCCTGCTCTATATGATTATCACATACCATTTTTAAGCGTCATCATTTCTTACGCGTTACTCTGGTCAAGTATTGTACACTATGTACAATTATTATACGTTATGACATGTATACATTCCAAAACATAGAAACATATTCGATTTTATAAGAAAAAGAGGATGCTCAAATCATGAGATTTATTTCATTAGAGCTATGTATTACCTGATGATATTTGTTCTCGCTACTCGCCTTATCTTTTATATTTCATGTCAGGATGAATGAATATATATCATCACAAACTCCACGTGAAACAATGTTATAGCACAAACGATATTAACAACACTGCAAAGTCTGCATTATTATTTAGAATACTACATATTATCTTACAGTAAACTAGCTGTGGTATCTTGACCTGGTTCAAGGATAACATATATATATTTGAAAATTAATATATTCACTTATGAGCTATAAGATATTATTTCTGTCTCAAGGGTAAATATTTAGGGTCTTGAACTGTTCTAAAGCATATTTAAATGTTGGTTGTATGTTTCAGTGCCATGCGGAGGACGTTGTGGACCAAACGCACAATGCGACAAAGTCAGAAACCAATGTGTCTGTAACACAGGATACTTTCTGCACCACGGATTGTGTACCCGTACGTATAGTTGCACAAATATATCAGACTCATGTTCAATATTAAAACACGTTGTGTCGATATTTTGAAACCAATGTGTCTGTACGTTATGATCATTGCGGACGACATTATGCATACTTTTGACAAAGAAAGCAAACAGCATGTCTGTAAAACAGGATGCTTCCTCTTCAAAAAGACATAGACTTGCTAGTGTTGCTAAAATGTACTGCTGATCGCAATATTAAGCTTTTTAGTTAGATTACAATTGTCGTCGATGACATATTATACAAACACGTAACATGTTATATACTTCTGAAAGCAACAAAAGGTATCTGTGTTGTTTACTACAAGTAAAAAGTGTTTCCTTTCTGTATATTTACATACTTATTTGTTTATATTTGATAGTGCCTTGTGGAGGATCATGTGGACCAAACTCCCGATGTGACCGCACAACCAACCAGTGTGTTTGTAACACAGGATACTTTTCATACCACGGATCATGTGTTGGTGAGTTTTAAAGAACTCCTTTTATATAATCAATAAATACAGACGTTCATCGTATTTTAAACCTCTAAAAAATATGAAATAAGTCGTTTTGAGTTAACGTTTTTGAAAATTACGATACAAATTTTGTGTTAAAGGACAAAGTAAATATCCCACTATCGAAGTTACATTTATTTATTCTTTAGATAGACTACTTACTGAACCGAGTTTGTTAAAATTGGGGTTAAATTTGGATGTATCATCAAAAACTGAAAATCAAACATATTTTTGGATATACATCATATATTCGAACATTAAAATATCGCTTATACGTTGTTTGAAATTAAGATTAAAAGTATGTATTTAAGGACAGTTACCTTTTAGTAGTATATTAAACCCTGATATGTTTCAGTCCCATGCGGAGGACGTTGTAAACCCAACGCATATTGCGACAAAGTCAGAAACCAATGTGTCTGTAACACAGGCTACTCTTTGTACCAAGGATCGTGTACCCGTATGTATAGTTGCACAAATAAATCAAATGCATGTTCAATACTTAAAACATCTATTGTCAATATTTTGAAACCAGTGTGTCTGTAACAAGACACGTTTCGTTCAGTTAGTCATGTGCTAGTATGTATGGTTCATTATATTGATACAAGTCTTGTTCATTGCTTTGTAATAATACTAAAGCATAAGTTGTCCATATTTTGAACGCCAACAATATTGACAGCTATCGAACAATATAAAACGTCTTGTATGACACGAAAACGGAAATAGCCTTTGCTATGCAAATAATGTATGATTGGTTATAATTTAAAAACCGAAGGATTTTCAAGTAATGATGTATTTCAATATTCGTTGTATGTTAAAGACAAACTACGAAAATGACATTTACATACCCTTCACAGTTCCATGCGGAGGAGCATGTGAACGTTATGCATACTTTGTTAAAGGAAGCAACCAACGTGTCAGTAAAACAGGATACTTCCTCTTCAAAGGATCATGTACTTGCTAGTGACGCTTAAACGTATTGATGATCGAAATATTAAGCTTTTAGGTTGGATTACAATTATCGTCGATGGCATATTATAAAACACGTAACATGTTATATACATTTGAAAGAAACAAAGATATCTTTGTTGTATAGAACAAGTACAAAGTGTTTCCTGTCTATATATTTACATAATTGTTGTTTTTTTTTATATTTAATAGTGCCTTGTGGAGGATCATGTGGACCAAACTCCCGATGTGACCGCACGACCAACCAGTGTGTTTGTAACACAGGATACTTTTCATTCCATGGAACATGTGTTGGTGAGTATGAAAAAACGGAAAACGTATAACTGATAAATACGAATTCAATGCTTACCCTTTCATTATTATATGTGAATATTTAAAGAACTACTATTATATAACAAATATATACGGACGGCCTTCCTTTTCTTTGATTTTAACTGCTTTATGTACCTGTATCCTAGAACCGTTTTATTAAATTTCCTCTCTTTTCTCAACCTCTAAAACATATTAACTAAACGTTTTGAGTTAACGTTGTTGAAAATGTAATACACATTTTGTGTTAAAGGACAAAGTAAATACCGCACTGTTGAGGATACATTTGTTTATATTTTAGATAGACTACTTGCTGAACCGCGTTTGTTAAGAGCGAGGTTAAATCTTAATGTATCACTACAAACTGAAAGTCAAACTTTTGTTTTGGATATACATCATATAACGAACATTAAAACATCGCTTATACGATGTTTGAAATCAATCTTAAAATAACGTTTCTAAGGGCATTTAGCTTTTTAGTAGTAAATGAACCCCTATAATGTTGCAGTACCATGCGGAGGACGTTGTGGACCTAATGCACAATGCGACAAAGTCAAAAACCAGTGTGTCTGTAACACAGGATACTTTCTGTTCCAAGGATCGTGTACCCGTATGTATAGTTGTACAAATATATCGAACTCATGTTACATACTGAAACATCCATTGACAATATTTTGAAACAAGTTTGTCTGTAACAAAAAACGTTTTGTTCAGTAAATCATGTTCTATATGAATGGTTCATTATATTGATACAAGTCTTGTTCATTGCCTTGAAAAAATACTAAATCATAATCTTTCGATATTCTGAACGCCAAAAATCTTGACAACTTTCGAACAATTTGAAATGTCTGGATTAAATCAAAAATTGGAAATAATTTTTGCTATACAGATAATGTATGGTTAGTTATAATTTAATAAGGGAGGCGTTTTCACGTATTGATGTATTTCAATATTCATAGTATGTTATGGACAAAATACCAAAATGACATAAATAAACCCTTCACAGTTCCATGCGGAGGAGCATGTGAACGTTATGCATAGATTGACAAAGGAAGCAACCAACGTGTATGCAACACATGATGCTTCCTCTGAAAAGGATCATGTACTTGCTAGTGACGCTAAAACGTATCGATGATCGAAATATGAAGCTTTTTAGTTAGATTGCAATTATCGTCGATGGCATTTAATGAAACACGTAACATGGTATATACTTCTGAAAGCAACAAAAGACAACTGTGTTATTTAGTACAATTACAAAGTGTTTCCTTTCTATATATTTACATACTTATTTGTTTGTATTTAATAGTGCCTTGTGGAGGATCGTGTGGACCAAACTCCCGATGTGACCGCACAACCAACCAGTGTATTTGTAACACAGGATACTTTTCATACCACGGAACATGTGTTGGTAAGTATGAAAGAACGGAAAAATGTATAACTGATAATAACGGACGCCATACTTACCCTTTAATTATTATATGTGAGTATTCAAAGAACTACTCTTATATAATTAATAACTACAGACGTCCATCTTGGATCTATGTCATATATTGGACATTAAAATATGTCTAGTATGTTGTTTGAAAGAAAACTCTAAAAACGTTTTAATGACATTGCATTGGTTAAAAGTATAGTAAACGCTACTATATTGCAGTGCCATGCGGAGGACGTTGTGGACCCAACGCACAATGCGACAAAGTCAGAAACCAGTGTGTCTGTAACACTGGATACTCTCTGTACCATGGATTATGTACCCGTATGTATAGTTGTACAATTATATCAAATTCGTGTTCAATACTAAAACATCCATTGACAATATTTTGAAACCAGTGTCTGTAACAAAAAACGTTATGTTCACTACATCATGTGCTACTACATACATGTATAATTCATTATATTGATACAAGTCTAGTGTATTGCCTTGTAATAATACTAAAGCATAATATGTCTATATTTTGAACGCCAACAATGTTGACAGCTTTCGAACAATTTAAAATGTCTTGGATAACTCGAAGGCGAAATAACTATTGTTATGCAGATAATGTATGATAAGGTATAATTTAATAACTGATGCGTTTTAACGTAATGACATATTTCAATAATCATTTTATGTAATGGACAAACTTCTAAAATGACATTGGTATAGTTCAATGCGGGGGAGCATGTGGGAGTTATGGCATACTGATGATTCCAATTATCGTCGATAGCATATAACAAAATTTCTGAAAGCAACAAAAGACATATGTGTTGTTTAGTACAGGTACAAAGTGTTTCCATTCTATATATTTACATACTTATTTGTTTGTATTTAATAGTGCCTTGTGGAGGATCGTGTGGACCAAACTCCCGATGTGACCGCACAACCAACCAGTGTGTTTGTAACACAGGATACTTTTCATACCACGGAACATGTGTTGGTGAGTATTTAAAGAACTACTTTTATATACCCAATAGCTACGGACGTCTATCATCTCCTTTGATTTTTACTGATTTTATGTACATGTATCATAGAGCCGTTTTATTATAACGCCTCTCTATTTTAAACCTCTAAAAAATATGAAATAAGCCGTTTTGAGTTGGTGTTTTTGAAAATTACGATACAAATTTTGTGTTAAAGGACAAAGTAAATATCGCACTATCGAAGTTACATTTATTTTTTAGATAGACTACTTACTGAACCGAGTTTGTTAAAATTGGGGTTAAATTTGGATGCAACATCAAAAACTGAAAGTCAAACATATTTTTGGATATACATCATATATTCGAGCATTAAAATATCGCTTATACGTTGTTTGAAATTAAGATTAAAAGTATGTATTTAAGGACAGTTAGCTTTTAGTAGTATATTAAACCCTGTTATGTTTCAGTTCCATGCGGAGGACGTTGTAAACCCAACGCATATTGCGACAAAGTCAGAAACCAATGTGTCTGTAACACAGGCTACTCTTTGTACCAAGGATCGTGTACCCGTATGTATAGTTGCACAAATAAATCAAATGCATGTTCAATACTAAAAACATCCATTGTCAATATTTTGTAACCAGTGTGTCTGTTACAAGACACGTTTCGTTCAGTTAGTCATGTGCTAGTATGTATGGTTCATTATATTAATACAAGTCTTGTTCATTGCCTTGTAATAATACTAAAGCATAAGTTGTCCATATTTTGAACTCCAACAATATTGACAGCTATCGAACAATATGAAACGTCTTGTATGACACGAAAACGATAATAGCTTTTGCTATGCAAATAATGTATGATTGGTTATAATTTAAAAACCGAAGGATTTTCAAGTAATGATGTATTTCAATATTCGTTGTATGTTAAAGACAAACTACGAAAATGACATTTACATACCCTTCACAGTTCCATGCGGAGGAGCATGTGAACGTTATGCATACTTTGTTAAAGGAAGCAACCAACGTGTCAGTAAAACAGGATACTTCCTCTTCAAAGGATCATGTACTTGCTAGTGACGCTTAAACGTATTGATGATCGAAATATTAAGCTTTTAGGTTGGATTACAATTATCGTCGATGGCATATTATAAAACACGTAACATGTTATATACATCTGAAAGAAACAAAGATATCTTTGTTGTATAGAACAAGTACAAAGTGTTTCCTGTCTATATATTTACATATTGTTTTTTTTTATATATATTTAATAGTGCCTTGTGGAGGATCATGTGGACCAAACTCCCGATGTGACCGCACGACCAACCAGTGTGTTTGTAACACAGGATACTTTTCATTCCATGGAACATGTGTTGGTGAGTATGAAAAAACGGAAAACGTATAACTGATAAATACGAATTCAATGCTTACCCTTTCATTATTATATGTGAATATTTAAAGAACTACTATTATATAACAAATATATACGGACGGCCTTCCTTTTCTTTGATTTTAACTGCTTTATGTACCTGTATCCTAGAACCGTTTTATTAAATTTCCTCTCTTTTCTCAACCTCTAAAACATATTAACTAAACGTTTTGAGTTAACGTTGTTGAAAATGTAATACACATTTTGTGTTAAAGGACAAAGTAAATACCGCACTGTTGAGGATACATTTGTTTATATTTTAGATAGACTACTTGCTGAACCGCGTTTGTTAAGAGCGAGGTTAAATCTTAATGTATCACTACAAACTGAAAGTCAAACTTTTGTTTTGGATATACATCATATAACGAACATTAAAACATCGCTTATACGATGTTTGAAATCAATCTTAAAATAACGTTTCTAAGGGCATTTAGCTTTTTAGTAGTAAATGAACCCCTATAATGTTGCAGTACCATGCGGAGGACGTTGTGGACCTAATGCACAATGCGACAAAGTCAAAAACCAGTGTGTCTGTAACACAGGATACTTTCTGTTCCAAGGATCGTGTACCCGTATGTATAGTTGTACAAATATATCGAACTCATGTTACATACTGAAACATCCATTGACAATATTTTGAAACAAGTTTGTCTGTAACAAAAAACGTTTTGTTCAGTAAATCATGTTCTATATGAATGGTTCATTATATTGATACAAGTCTTGTTCATTGCCTTGAAAAAATACTAAATCATAATCTTTCGATATTCTGAACGCCAAAAATCTTGACAACTTTCGAACAATTTGAAATGTCTGGATTAAATCAAAAATTGGAAATAATTTTTGCTATACAGATAATGTATGGTTAGTTATAATTTAATAAGGGAGGCGTTTTCACGTATTGATGTATTTCAATATTCATAGTATGTTATGGACAAAATACCAAAATGACATAAATAAACCCTTCACAGTTCCATGCGGAGGAGCATGTGAACGTTATGCATAGATTGACAAAGGAAGCAACCAACGTGTATGCAACACATGATGCTTCCTCTGAAAAGGATCATGTACTTGCTAGTGACGCTAAAACGTATCGATGATCGAAATATGAAGCTTTTTAGTTAGATTGCAATTATCGTCGATGGCATTTAATGAAACACGTAACATGGTATATACTTCTGAAAGCAACAAAAGACAACTGTGTTATTTAGTACAATTACAAAGTGTTTCCTTTCTATATATTTACATACTTATTTGTTTGTATTTAATAGTGCCTTGTGGAGGATCGTGTGGACCAAACTCCCGATGTGACCGCACAACCAACCAGTGTATTTGTAACACAGGATACTTTTCATACCACGGAACATGTGTTGGTAAGTATGAAAGAACGGAAAAATGTATAACTGATAATAACGGACGCCATACTTACCCTTTAATTATTATATGTGAGTATTCAAAGAACTACTCTTATATAATTAATAACTACAGACGTCCATCTTGGATCTATGTCATATATTGGACATTAAAATATGTCTAGTATGTTGTTTGAAAGAAAACTCTAAAAACGTTTTAATGACATTGCATTGGTTAAAAGTATAGTAAACGCTACTATATTGCAGTGCCATGCGGAGGACGTTGTGGACCCAACGCACAATGCGACAAAGTCAGAAACCAGTGTGTCTGTAACACCGGATACTCTCTGTACCATGGATTATGTACCCGTATGTATAGTTGTACAATTATATCAAATTCGTGTTCAATACTAAAACATCCATTGACAATATTTTGAAACCAGTGTCTGTAACAAAAAACGTTATGTTCACTACATCATGTGCTACTACATACATGTATAATTCATTATATTGATACAAGTCTGGTGTATTGCCTTGTAATAATACTAAAGCATAATCTGTCTATATTTTGAACGCCAACAATGTTGACAGCTTTCGAACAATTTAAAATGTCTTGGATAACTCGAAGGCGAAATAACTATTGTTATGCAGATAATGTATGATAAGGTATAATTTAATAACTGATGCGTTTTAACGTAATGACATATTTCAATAATCATTTTATGTAATGGACAAACTTCTAAAATGACATTGGTATAGTTCAATGCGGGGTAGCATGTGAGAGTTATGACATACTGATGATTCCAATTATCGTCGAAAGCATATAACAAAATTTCTGAAAGCAACAAAAGACATATGTGTTGTTTAGTACAGGTACAAAGTGTTTCCATTCTATATATTTACATACTTATTTGTTTGTATTTAATAGTGCCTTGTGGAGGATCGTGTGGACCAAACTCCCGATGTGACCGCACAACCAACCAGTGTGTTTGTAACACAGGATACTTTTCATACAACGGAATATGTGTTGGTGAGTATTTAAAGAACTACTTTTATATACCCAATAGCTACGGACGTCTATCATCTCCTTTGATTTTTACTGATTTTATGTACATGTATCATAGAGCCGTTTTATTATAACGCCTCTCTATTTTAAACCTCTAAAAAATATGAAATAAGCCGTTTTGAGTTGGTGTTTTTGAAAATTACGATACAAATTTTGTGTTAAAGGACAAAGTAAATATCGCACTATCGAAGTTACATTTATTTTTTAGATAGACTACTTACTGAACCGAGTTTGTTAAAATTGGGGTTAAATTTGGATGCATCATCAAAAACTGAAAGTCAAACATATTTTTGGATATACATCATATATTCGAGCATTAAAATATCGCTTATACGTTGTTTGAAATTAAGAATAAAAGTATGTATTTAAGGACAGTTAGCTTTTAGTAGTATATTAAACCCTGTTATGTTTCAGTTCCATGCGGAGGACGTTGTAAACCCAACGCATATTGCGACAAAGTCAGAAACCAATGTGTCTGTAACACAGGCTACTCTTTGTACCAAGGATCGTGTACCCGTATGTATAGTTGCACAAATAAATCAAATGCATGTTCAATACTAAAAACATCCATTGTCAATATTTTGTAACCAGTGTGTCTATAACAAGACACGTTTCGTTCAGTTAGTCATGTGCTAGTATGTATGGTTCATTATATTAATACAAGTCTTGTTCATTGCCTTGTAATAATACTAAAGCATAAGTTGTCCATATTTTGAACTCCAACAATATTGACAGCTATCGAACAATATGAAACGTCTTGTATGACACGAAAACAATAAAAGCTTTTGCTATGCAAATAATGTATGATTGGTTATAATTTAAAAACCGAAGGATTTTCAAGTAATGATGTATTTCAATATTCGTTGTATGTTAAAGACAAACTACGAAAATGACATTTACATACCCTTCACAGTTCCATGCGGAGGAGCATGTGAACGTTATGCATACTTTGTTAAAGGAAGCAACCAACGTGTCAGTAAAACAGGATACTTCCTCTTCAAAGGATCATGTACTTGCTAGTGACGCTTAAACGTATTGATGATCGAAATATTAAGCTTTTTAGTTGGATTACAATTATCGTCGATGGCATATTATAAAACACGTAACATGTTATATACATCTGGAAACAACAACTATATCTTTGTTGTATAGAACAAGTGCAAAGTGTTTCCTGTCTATATATTTACATAACTGGTGTTTTTTTTATATATTTAATAGTGCCTTGTGGAGGATCATGTGGACCAAACTCCCGTTGTGACCGCACAACCAACCAGTGTATTTGTAACACAGGATACTTTTCATTCCACGGAACATGTGTTGGTGAGTATGACAAAACGGAAAACGTATAACTGATAATTACGAATTCAATACTTACCCTTTCATTATTATATGTGAGTATTTAAAGAACTACTATTATATAACAAATATATACGGACGTCCTTCCTTTTCTTTGATTTTTACTGCTTTATTTATCTGTATCCTAGAACCGTTTTATTATATTTCCTCTCTATTTTCAACCTCTAAAACATATTAAATAAACGTTTTGAGTTAACGTTGTTGAAAATATAATACACATTTTGTGTTAAAGGACAAGGTAAATACCGCACTGTTGAGGATACATTTGTTTATATTTTAGATAGACTACTTGCTGAACCGCGCTTGTTAAGAGCGAGGTTAAATCTTAATGTATCATTACAAACTGAAAGTCAAACATATTTTTTTAATATACATCATATAACAGAACATCAAAACATCGCTTATACGATGTTTGAAATTAATCTTTAAATTACGTTTCTAAGGGCATTTAGCTTTTTAGTAGTAAATGAACCCCTATAATGTTGTAGTACCATGCGGAGGACGTTGTGGACCTAATGCACAATGCGACAAAGTCAAAAACCAGTGTGTCTGTAACACAGGATACTTTCTGTTCCAAGGATCGTGTACCCGTATGTATAGTTGTACAAATATATCAAACTCATGTTACATACTGAAACATCCATTGACAATATTTTGAAACATGTTTGTCTGTAACAAAAAACGTTTTGTTCAGTAAATCATGTTCTATATGAATGGTTCATTATATTGATACAAGTCTTGTTCATTGCCTTGAAAAAATACTAAATCATAATCTTTCGATATTCTGAACGCCAAAAATCTTGACAACTTTCGAACAATTTGAAATGTCTGGATTAAATCAAAAATTGGAAATAATTTTTGCTATACAGATAATGTATGGTTAGTTATAATTTAATAAGGGAGGCGTTTTCACGTATTGATGTATATCAATATTCATAGTATGTTATGGACAAAATACCAAAATGACATAAATAAACCCTTCACAGTTCCATGCGGAGGAGCATGTGAACGTTATGCATAGATTGACAAAGGAAGCAACCAACGTGTATGCAACACATGATGCTTCCTCTGAAAAGGATCATGTACTTGCTAGTGACGCTAAAACGTATCGATGATCGAAATATGAAGCTTTTTAGTTAGATTGCAATTATCGTCGATGGCATTTAATGAAACACGTAACATGGTATATACTTCTGAAAGCAACAAAAGACAACTGTGTTATTTAGTACAAGTACAAAGTGTTTCCTTTCTATATATTTACATAATTGTTTGTTTGTATTTAATAGTGCCTTGTGGAGGATCGTGTGGACCAAACTCCCGATGTGAACGCACAACCAACCAGTGTATTTGTAACACAGGATACTTTTCATACCACGGAACATGTGTTGGTGAGTATGAAAGAACGGAAAATGTATAACTGAAAATAACGGACGCCATACTTACCCTTTAATTATTATATGTGAGTATTCAAAGAACTACTCTTATATAATCAATAACTACAGACGTCCATCTTGGATCTACTTCATATATTAGACATTAAAATATGTCTAGTACGTTGTTTGAAAGAAAACTCTAAAAACGTTTTAATGACATTGCATTGGTTAAAAGTATATTAAACGCTACTATATTGCAGTGCCATGCGGAGGACGTTGTGGACCCAACGCACAATGCGACAAAGTCAGAAACCAGTGTGTCTGTAACCCCGGATACTCTCTGTACCATGGATTATGTACCCGTATGTATAGTTGTACAATTATATCAAATTCGTGTTCAATACTAAAACATCCATTGACAATATTTTGAAACCAGTGTCTGTAGCAAAAAACGTTATGTTCACTACATCATGTGCTACTACATACATGTATAATTCATTATATTGATACAAGTCTAGTTTATTGCCTTGTAATAATACTAAAGCATAATCTGTCCATATTTTGAACGCCAACAATGTTGACAGCTTTCGAACAATTTAAAATGTCTTGGATAACTCGAAGGCGAAATAACTATTGATATGCAGATAATGTATGATAAGTTATAATTTAATAACTGATGCGTTTTAACGTAATGACATATTTCAATAATCATTTTATGTAATGGACAAACTTCTAAAATGACATTGATATAGTTCAATGCGGAGGGGCATGTGAGAGTAATGACATACTGATGATTCCAATTATCGTCGATAGCATATAACAAAATTTCTGAAAGCAAACAAAAGACATATGTGTTGTTTAGTACAGGTACAAAGTGTTTCCTTTCTATATATTTACATACTTATTTGTTTGTATTTAATAGTGCCTTGTGGAGGATCGTGTGGACCAAACTCCCGATGTGACCGCACAACCAACCAGTGTGTTTGTAACACAGGATTCTTTTCATACCACGGATCATGTGTTGGTGAGTATAAAAAGAACGGAACATGTATAACTGATAATTACGGACGCCATACTTACCCTTCCATTATTATATCTGAGTATTTAAAGAACTACTATTATATTACCAATAGCTACGTTGTCCATCATCTTCTTTGCTTTTTCTATTTGTTGTATCATATAACCTATTTTAATATATTTTCAACCACTTATAAGATATGGAATAAATTGTTTTGAATTATTAATGTTTTGAACATTATAATACTGTTTGTGTTAAACGATAAAGTATATATCGCACCATTGAAGCTACATGTTTTATATTTTAGATAGACAACATGCTGAACTGTGTTTGCTAAGAGCGTGGCTAAATCTTAATGTAGTACCACAAGCTGAAAATCAACCACATTTTTGAATATACAGCATATATTGGAACATTAAAATATCGCTTATACGTTATTTGAAATTTATCTTAAAAGTACGTTTTGAAGGACATTTAGTTGTTTTGTAGTATACTAAACCCTCTTTATATTCAGTGCCATGCGGAGGACGTTGTGGACCTAATGCACAATGCGACAAAGTCAGAAACCAGTGTGTCTGTAACACTGGATACTCTCTGTACCAAGGATCGTGTACCCGTATGTATAGTTGCACAAATAAATCAAATTCATATTCAATATTAAAGCATCCATTGGCAATATTTTAAATCCAGTGTCTGTAACAATATACGTTATGTTCATTAAATCATGTGCTAATACGTATAGTTCATTATGTTGATACAAGTCTAGTTCATTGCCTTGTAATAATAGTAAAGCATAATCTGTCCATATTTTGAACGCCAACAATATTGAGAGCTTTCGAACAATTTTAAATGTGTTGGATAATCCGAAAACGTAAACATATATGATTAGATATACATGTACATATACATTGATATACACTTCAAATTTCAATGCAAGGGGCATGTCGACAGTGTGCATACTTTGTTAACCGAAGCAACCAACGTGTCAGTAAAACAGGATACTTCCTCTTCAAAGGATCATGTAATTGCTAGTGACGCCAAAACATACTAATGATCGAAATATTAAGCTTTTCAGCTAGATTACAATTATCGTCGATGGCTAAATAATGAAACACATTACGTGTTATATGCTTCTGAAAGACTCAATGACATACACAATTGTTTCATACATTTGACAGTTCCATGCGGAGGGCCATGTGGGTATAACGCCTACTGTGATAAAGTCAGGAACCAATGTGTCTGTAACACAGGATACGTCTTGTTCCATGGAAGATGTACTCGTAAGTCTTTAAAATTTGAGACTAAAATAATAATTAACCTTTCCCGTGCCACTGCTTAAAACTGAAACGATGAATGGAACATTACTATTTCCATAATCATAGCTTTGACAATCCATTTCTGAAAGGAAAAGAATCTCATACCTTGCCGAAATCTTGCAAACAAATTAAGATGAAATTAACAAAAGCAGCAATAATTACAACAGTGATTTTTGAGTAACGGACCAGGACTGAGTTACCTCATGCACAAACCTGCGTAAGAGTGTCCGAAACGAAAATAAGAGGAGGTTACTTAATGACGACTAAAGAGCAAGTTTCTAGTGGTCAAGTGAAATAACAGGAAGGAAACGTTGAATGAAGATTATCTGGGAAAATAAGCGCGAAAGAGAACGCGACGTTTATACAATAGAAGAAATATTTCCGAGGAAACCTCAAGCAAAGAAATTAAACAGTAAATTAAATATATAAAGTCACGTGATCAACCGAATTCAATTAAACACACTGTAAAATATGGAGGATATATCGTTAAATAATTATTTGCCATATACATCACTCAGACTGTCATTTCTAATGTATAATATTTTGAAAGATAAGTGAAATTGATTGCCTGAGGTTGTTTTGTTATTATACAGTACCATGCGGAGGACGCTGTGGCCAAAATGAACAATGTGATTCCGTATCCAACCAGTGCGTATGTAAGTCTGGATTCATGAAATTCAAAGGAGGACCATGTCAACGTGAGTATAACGTCTAACCAGCTCACTAACAAAGTCATGTTTTTATTATTCGAGTAATTTGTTTCCACTATTTGTAACAAAATGTAGCTAATAATATATAATACTATATTGTACCTGATGACACCATACTCTTACTTAGATGTATAGCTATATAAATCTCGCCTATGATAATCACGTATCGATAATAAACTTTTAGAATCAATTCGATAGCAAACAAAATGTGGCTTGTGATCTTAGCAGATACATGTAATACTCTCATCGCATTGTAATTGTACATCACGATCGCGAGTTACGTTTCGATCTGATGGAAACGGGTTCGTTTAAAAACCAATTTATGCAGTAAAATTATATGTAAATATGCTCAGTGCCTGGTTGCATCAGGTAATGAAAATGTAATGATATATGAATTATTTATTTAAAAAGTGTGTTCATTCTGCATAAATTAGTAAATTTTGTATAAGTTTCCTGCTTTATTGATGATTATATTTATGAATCTCAGTACATGCTTTTCATTTGGAAATTGTTTCTTATTTGAACATTATAAATATTATATATAACATGTAAGAAGATATAGGTAAAATCATGATCATGTTAGTGCTACGATGTCAACATTCAACCGGACTAAACTTTTCATAAAATATATTTTTCTAAGCTAAGGTGCATGATAATGTCGTTTAAGGTTTCGAAAAGTTTGATGTCTTGAATTTCAGTGCCCTGTGGAGGCCCATGTGGACCACACTCGTACTGTAACCAAGGGACCAACCAGTGTGTCTGTAACACAGGATACTTCAAATACCACGGATCGTGCGCCCGTACGTAGCTGACTTAATTATCAAATACAAATTTGTTATGGTTTTTTTTCACAATATCATTTACCTGTAATTACAACGGATTTGAAAACAATATTCGGGCTTAGGTAAAGTGGATTTATGTACTTCTTCAAAAGTGTAAGAGGTTTTTGACAGTATTGCCACTATCAGTACGATCGTATAGGAAATGCCAGATGAATACGAATTAATCATAATTATTCGTAACTGTAATACATTATTTTGTTCGACATTTCTGTAACACCTTGGCCACTATTCATGAAATCGTTCCCACGCTCAAGCATGGATTTTGTGCTCAAGCTGAATTTCTTGTTTCAAGTTATGAATTAATTTTAAAAATCTTGTTTTGTCAATGATTTAAAAAAACATTGAAGAGTCTGAAAGCCAAAAACTATTTTCAATGTTTATATTTGACTTTTTGATTGTTTGATTATTGATTCAAGCGAGTTACAAGAAAGTTGGGTTGAGCACAAAATCCATGCTTGAACATGAGAACAATTTCATGAACATGGGCTTAGAAGATCGTAGGAACGTGTCTTCTTAAATTAATAGATGATAAAGAAGTGAAGAAATATATTTGGTTCATATTTATTGTTAGGGTTAGTTCATTATCTCGGATTTTATACATAGACTATAGTAAGCAATGGTCAAGTACACTAAATGAATATAAAAATGTACGCATTTATGTATCTTTGTCGGCAGTGCCATGTGGTGGTCAATGTGTATACAACGCCTACTGTGACAAATCTTCAAACACCTGTAAATGTAACCACGGACTGGTAGGAGACGGCACCACGAAGTGTGGAAGTGAGTAGTGTATTATACTCTTACGTCAATAAGGTCTAGGTGTTTAACATTCCTGTTACACCAACAACATTTTGAAGCAATTGTAACATAAATGTTCCATCGGATATTTAGCTTTCTTGTAAAAGTTATATCCAACTTAAATGAAACCTTACTTAAAAGTTTGGAGTAATATTGGCATCAGTTAAAGATCCGTGTACTTTCATCATCTGTAGCTATGAATTACATTTTTATACCTGTTTGACAATGGTATTAGTTATGTATTTTTCTTTAAAAGGAAGCTTTATAAAACAAAAATGATAAATATTAAATAAAGAACATACCAACTGCAGTATTTTGATAGTAGAAATGTGAAGAGGCCTAGCTGATCACAATCCTGTCGCTCTTATCAACTTATAAGCAACCATATAATCAGTAGTTCACTTGCTTAACCTGACTACAATAATATCCAAAATGAAATTAAGGGGAGTTTACCGTATGTTTGAAAAAAACATCTCGAGTGAATTTCTGTGGTGTTTTTCCTGCAGAGGGGCAGGAAGCCTTAATATTACTTACAAATGGTTGTTGGGTGGCACAGTGGGTAGCGTACTTACCTTTAAGATGGTTGGGTTTTTTATTCCCCGATTGGACGTAAAATGGTTTTGGTCACCTGCCCGATCACATTGGTCCAGTCTCTTCCAACATTAAGACCTTCTCTGCGCTGCCGTCCGGGTATAAAAGAATGATTAAAATAAGTTGGATTGGCTTGTCTCATAATGGTTTGATTGTCATGTCTCTTAATACATTACGAGCGAGGGCTAATGCACAGATTATACAATGTATCTATTTTCCTCATATGTTGAAATAACACCAATGTTGACGTGTCATTTACAGTTCCGTGTGATGGACGATGCGGTTCATTCCCACACTCCCATTGTGATCACAGCACAAACAGGTGCGCGTGTGACGTTGGATGGCAGGGTAATCCATACGGAAGTCCTGGATGTGTATGTGACCATAGCGGCGGCGGCAGTGGACATTATTAAACCTCAACTGACCATTTATGACCTATCGACCAATTGTACCTTAGTATAATGAAATAAATATGTATATATCACAGCATGCAAAAAATATGTCGTTAAAGTTTTTCTTTGCAATCTGATACTTATTATTTATACATTATGCATGTAAATAACACCACACACAGCTTATACATCAATGGCGCTGCACTATTATTCACACAACAATTCTTTTTGTAATGCCTTTAAGTATGATACATGTAAACCTTCGTCTAATATTATAAAAGTAGAGCTGTAAAAGCGGGAATTTTCGCAATGTGAAAATGTTCGCGCGCGCGCAAATATCCACACTCAAATATTTAATCATATGATTTTATAAATTATTGACAATACAATAGATAAACCGAGGAAATCTCCACACTACGATCAGTTAGAACAGTCACAACCAAAACATTTTAACACCCAGAACTTTTTTATTTTAAGGTAGTTGTTTGGGTCTAAAAACAATATACTTTTTTTCTACATTTTAATGGGATTGTTAAGACATATCAACATACAGAGTGTAGGAGGGAATGTGTTCGTTGATGATTATATCACCTCAGACAAAATCATTCGCAGTGCTTATTTTGAACTGGTATCAGCGCCACAGCAAGTAAACATTTAATAAAATGGTGGTTCTTAAAGATTGTTGCAATCCAGAAACACCAAAAGAGAGTCTTTCATTACCTCACATTGAATACGAATTCGTACAAAGGTCATTAAAAAGCAAAGTTTCCAGATGCTACAACTCTTCACAACCAAACAATTTAAGGATCCCTGTACCATTTCCAACATTTGGAACTAAGCATTGAAGGCTGTTTTGTTCCGGCACGACGTTAGCCTTGATAGATTATATCTGAAGATGAAACAATATCGTGTTTTATTATGAAAAATGATACAGATGAGATAAACAAAAGATAATTAACCAAAACGTTCTAAGGAGTAAAATAAATCAGCAAGGCTAGATTTGAATCCCGGTACTCAGATTGTTACACCTTTGCTGTAACTAATTTAGCTACCCGGTCAACAGAAGTGTACTACATGAAACCCGAATGTGCTACAGTTTAGTCTCGTTCAACCAGGCTATTGTTGTCAGCGCAAGCTACGCTTGAATTACAAGTTATCAAGCGTCTGGTTAAACGAGACTAGCTACAGTTTTAATGAAACGGTGGGACAGGGATCCTTAATTTTGTAACCGTTTACCAAGTATTTACGAGTTACCTCTCTTGAGACGGTTAATGCAAATAAAACCCCAAAATCATGGAAATAAAAAACATTTCATTTTCAGTGGCAAGCCAATATTCTGGAAAGTTTTAAAACTTTAATTGCAATTTCCTGATTTATGATGATCTTTGGTTTATAGTAAATAACATTAAATCTAAATTTTATCGCACTAAAACAGCCAAAAGAATATGAATAATGACTATGTAATGGAACTGAAATCGTGTCCTTGTTCTTAAAGTTATTTTTTTTGTTTTTGTTTATTTTTACTAATTATTTGATAAAATCCCAACTTAACTGATGTAATATTAGGACATTAATCTCTAAATATCGTATCTTATATTCATTTTAAACTATGGCCGATTTGTTTTAGACACATACGAAGATTATACAACGTAAACACTATACAATACTTACATTGTTAAAAAAATCGTTATACCGGATCTTCAAATCTGCGAACAATAGGGCCTTTTAATGATAAATAAATCATCACAGTTATAAACAGTCAGAGAGGAAACTTTCATCTTGTACATTTTCAAATTTATTAAATCTCATACATGTATAAGGATTATAGATGGAACAAAATGCGTAATTCTTAATAACGACGGTGTTGGAGCCATGAAGCTGCCGTGTTGTCCAGTCTATTTAAACAGCACTAAACCCTCCCCCTTCGATACCATTTCCCTGACAACAGACAATCAAGCGCACGAAATCCTGAAACAACATATAATCAAAATTAGTTACATTATTTTTTGTAATACACAATCTCTACCACCTGTCATTCTAAACTACTGTATGAATCATCTACGTGTTTTTTTTATTTTACTGCCATAGGCTATGTCTATTGTCTAATCCTTTTTTTAAATTAAACATTTTTAATTGAATATCGTATGTTAAATGGTGACTTTTGAATGCATAAACGAACAGGCCCCTGGTCGACACGTTTCGTTGGGCCAGAACTTCAGGTTGAAACTGACGCTCGATAATTAATCGTGAAATAAACGTGACGGTGTCGTCTTGCAATAAATAATACATTGTGACGTGTTATTTTAACAAGACTTATTGCGTAAAATTTGTTAAGTTAGACCATCTCAGGTGTTCCATGAAAAGCTATTATACAATAAACATAAGAACTCTATAAGCAAAACAAAATCTAAGTTCCTTATTGGAGTTGGAGTGCGAGAAGTTTCACCAATAATAATGGTTCTGAAGACAGACATAGCATCAAAGAAAACAAAAGGACAAGCGTGAAAAGATTCAGGGATCGAGTAGGTCTCTCTGATTTACACAAAACTATCAGTTATGACCACATCAAGCAAACATGAAATTGTATATCAAGACCTGTCATCATCACATGCAACATAATCTTCTGAGGCATAGATAACAATATTACTGTTATTATCGTTCTGTTTCTATGGGGTTTAACGTCCTCGCGACGACTTAGGTCATATGAACACCAGTGTCTAGCGTGACACCGCCTCAAGGAAAGATGGGCAAGTGAAAAAAAAAGACAGATCCCAAGTGTTGCCATAGGAACAGCCAATTGATTTTGATCTTTTCAATATCCTCTTAGCAGACGACACCAAATAAAACCTAAGATTATGCAGGGGTTTCCACATATGTAGCATCTTACGACTAGCAGTGGGATACAACAGGTCTATACTTTCCCCGAAACTGCCCAAGATAGCCTCTGAACGCATTTATCATAAACCTATCACACATAATATGGCTAGAGCATAGCATTTTATTTACTCTTTATCAGCCTAGATGACGATAAAGAATACTATGAATCTGAATACTCAATAAAATGCATGTGAATTCCAAATACCGCCATCTCATTTCTAAACGTATTAAACTGCAAACTCTCATGCTTGAAATACCAACCAATCACCGCATCAAAACTTTATTTAAAAAGTTCCTTCGTTAAAGAAGCTCTAAATTGGACATGAAGTCATAATTGAAATTGTACATGTTTAGACAATTTCAAAACCAAATTCTCACAATAAAGCTAACAATGAATGGTACAATCTGTGTCAATTAAATATGGAAAGAGCACTTTCAGTGTCAGATATCATTGTTATTACATAATCAGAGAATGACCGTTCAGTCCTTCAAATATAATTACTTATCATTAGGTAATGATAACTGGTTTCCCCGGAAATGTGACAAGGGTGTAGCATTTAACAATGCCATTATTGTTGTGTGTACGTATCAAAACCACAGCGGAGGCGTTAGTGTGCACAATGTGCATTTGTAATAGGATAGGTATTGACAGAAAACATTATATAAGGTTCGCCGATAGGGGGTTCTGGGCACATTTCTTCCAGCAACCAAGAATGAAACACTGCGTATGTCTAGGTTTGACTGTAGTCCTCGCATTAGCGACAGGAACATCAGCCTTGTCCAGATACAAGCCTTTTACGAATTGTGACGACGAACGAATAGTCCATAGGTTTACGGTAATAGATTACATTTGGCCGAGCGACACAGCACGAGAGCATGCTCTTGAAAAGGAAGATTACATTCCGCATAACAATATCATTAGTGGAATGAAAACATATGACAACAAAGTCTACGTCACTGTTCCAAGATGGCGGCGAGGTGTTCCATCAACACTCAACAAAGTCATTGTTAGGAACGGAACGTCGATGCTACAGCCGTTTCCAAGCTGGAAGATGCAGAAGATTGGAGACTGTCGCGCTCTTCAATTTGTTCAAAGTATGGAAATAGACCCAAATACAGGCTGGATGTGGATCATTGACACCGGAAGAATCAACTTCTTCGCCGCTGACGGAACAGCCACAAAAAATGTCTGTCCGGCTAAAATTGTGATATACGATATTAATAAAATGGAAGAAGTTACTCGTCATGAATTTCCAAATCATGTAGCCGATCGCAATGTCACATTTCTTAATGACATTGTCGTGATGTATAGCGGATCACGTCCAAGATATGCGTTCATTTCAGATACGTTCGCATTCCGAATGGTCGTATATGACATGATTCGAAACACCTCTCATTTCTTCTCTCATCCGTCCATGCTACCCGAACCAGGCAACGGAAACATCACAATAATGGGAGAAACACTATCTTTGTCGGCCGGTATAAATGGGATAGCAATGTCATCGGACATGAAGTTTATTTACTTTGGTTCAATATCTGGGTACAGTGTGTATCAGATTCCATCACGTGTTGCGCGTAACCCACATGGGAACTTTGCAAGATATGTCCGGAAGGTTGGCGTCAAGCCGTCTCAGGGAGAGGGAATGACGTACAGCAGAAGTAACCATTTATATTTCTCCGACCTAACTTCGAATTCTATCAACAGATGGGACATCGACCAAGATAGAAAAATTCAACGAAAGTCCTTCCAAAGGGTGGCGATGAAATCCGTTTCCGAAGTATTGTCAAGCAATACATGTATGAACTTTGTCGATACTTTGACATTTGACACAGAGGGATATCTATGGTTTACAGTTAACAAGCTACATAAGTACATCTTAACGTCTATGGACTTTACCGGAAGTAGTGGGCCTAACGTCTTGATATGGAAGGTCTACGTAGGAGAAGTCGGGTACCTAGACCGTCGAAGAACAATTAAATTAGGTGATACATATATTAATGTACTCTATTAAGCATTCAATTGATTCTTATTTATATTGTTTTGTTATCTTCCCTGTTAATTGTGTTTTTCCTTTAGTTGTGATGTCTCCACAGTTCAAGTTTGTCGTCTTTCCTATACGTTTAATGTATCCCAAGTCCGTGCGTGTCATTAGTTCAGGTTTTTTTTATTTTAATTCTTTAATTCTTCCCCTCTTTTTTTTGCATTACCTTAATCTCCGAGGTCTTTCAGAGCATTCTTTAGATCTGTTTAGCCTGCCATGTCCATTTTGTCTTTTTCCTTTAGTTTTGATGCTTTTTCGTCTTCTGTTGTCTAGTCGGCTGCCGTGGTTTCCCGGGTCTTTCCATCATGCCTTTATATTTCTAGGCTTCCTACTTCTTTTTGTCTGTCATTAAGTTCTGAGATCTCAATATTCTGTTGTAAAAAGTCATGATAACCCCTAGTACTCCACAAAGACAAAACAATGTAGGACCATAAATATTAGTCAATATTCCATGCAAACGATCGATGATCGATGATAAAACTTGAAAATAACTTTGTTTTTTGCTTGTTTATATTTAAAAATCTAAATACTTTTGGTTTGAAAAATATCGCATAGCCCGCTTTTTCTTAAGCTTTTTGAAAACATTTCATCACAATGCCCGCTTCATCATATAACCCGCAGAAAACATTTTTAAGGTAAAAACGTATAGGCCGCAGGCAATAAGCAAGAAATTACGGTATTTGCATAAAGCATAAAATATGTCTTGTCACTTATATGACAACATTTTGGAAATGATGAGCTGAAAGGATCCGACATCGAGGCGACTATCATGAGATTCCTTAAAGATGGTCATGATATCGTCAAAATAAATGTAAATGATATTCTAAAACACTATGAACAGTATGTCAAAGTTTTTCTTTACACATAAACAATGTAAATATCAAAAGTGTCGCAACGTTTCAAGACCGACTGGTCCCTTTGTCTAGATATGAATTTTTTATTCTTCCAAGCGCCATGTGGACGCCGTTGTGGACCAAATGAACGCTGTGACGTCGGAACCAACCGGTGCGTGTGTAACCATGGATACATGAGATACAACAGAAAAACATGCCAACGTGAGTATAATGTTCAATAACTGTACCCATTCACTTGGTAATAAGGGTAATACATTTTCTTTTTTTTCCGGGCCGGGGGNTTCTCAAGGATCTCTGTCACACTGCACTGTGGACTTGCCTATTTTTAGTAACATTGTTTTAACTTCCGTTTGGATACACCTGTTGAACAATTTGGCCTGGACACTTTCGTCGATAGGGTAGGTCAATTGCTTAGACAGATAGCAAAGCAGTCTGAAGTTCAGGGTTCAATTCCTGGTCTAGCCCTGCGATGTGTTTAACACTCAGAACACAGTTGTTGATTATATTTTGTTTATTTCATCTGTGTTATTTCTCAAAGAAGTCCCGCACGGTTTGATCTACTGAAGCTAAAGTCATGCAGGAAAATACAGTTTCAAACATATCGTTACAGTTTTAGGCAGCGGCACGTGGATCCTTAATTAAATGCTAACATTTACACATACTCTCCACAGGATTAGTGAATACATTAATCCTCCAACAGCTGCTATTGTCATAATAAAGTGTCATTTGCATTAATCCTCAACTGTGTATAGCAAACTCAAATAGTATCATAACAATGTTTTATGCATTCGGAATCTATATACTTAGTAGTGTCATAGTGACATAGCGATAGCATTAAACTTAGAATGACCATTGCCCGGTAGTATCAGGTACAGCAATAACATAACGATATTTTAAAATCATTTTTCTTTATTCGTAATTGATTAAAAGAAAGTTTGGATCTTTGTATTCACTTTCTGGTAGTGGTCATTCCGAATCAGATGACATGTTTAGGACATTGCATTCAATTTAACGATCATGAACAATCGATATGAACAATGTTAATTATGTGCTAAGGATGCCTGTCCCACTACACGTTTTTTTCGTTTTTTTCGATATACGGTAACATCCCCTTTACTTCCGTTTGGATATAGCTGTAGCAGATTTCGGCCAGGGCACTTCCGTAGACCAGTTAGGTCGGTCAGTAAGAGTGATAGTATAACAATCTGAAGTCCAGGATTTGAATCCTGGTCTAGCTCCGCGGAACTTTCACATTCAGAGGTTTTTTGCAGTGGTACGGGGATCCTTAAGGTACCCAACTAGCTAAACTATAATTTTATCATTGTCACTACTGTCAAAAAATGGTTTAAGCAGTTTTCAAAAATCACATGTTGCGATGCATTTTACAGAATTATAGTTTTTCTGAATTGTTTATTTGAAAATCGATAAAAAAATAAACACAAAAAGCAGGGATATATCTTCACTTGGGACCTACATATTACAACGCCTACGCTAGGAAGTATAACTGCAAAACAGTAATTTAATTGTATGGGCCTCAAAGCCCTTGATAAACTTGACAGGGGAAACTACTCTGAGCCAGATAAACTACTTTTGGTAGCATCATCTTCCATAGAGAAGGGAGAATACTCCAAGGCAAAAACAACTCGAATGGAACTCTTCTTTGTTATTATAACTGAAACAGTGGTGTCCTTCACCTTAAACAAGTAAAACTGTTTGGATAAATTGTGTACACGTGTGTGCTGAATTATGTCTACTTCCTCGACAATAAATTCCACACAGTCATTATGTAATGGGAAAACTGAACCTGTCGAGTTTGTCCGGAAATACATGTCTTAATTAGTGAACAAATGCAGTGAGGTTTAAAGAAATGTCATAATTTAGACAGTAGAAGGCTCTCTGATGAAATATTATGCCTTGTGGTGTGTAGAAACGCACGTGGACTCAACGCATCCTGTATATAACAAAGGATTTTAAGTTCATTAGGTTAAGTTTAAACACTAGCTCATATTCAAGAGGCCAATACCATTATACAGGTAATACGCGTATCTTATTAACGGTGATATGTTTAAACAAGCTTAAGACTTCTTGATTTTATACCATTTATATTCGATTAATGTTAAAGATAAAGTCCTTGCAGTCATGAGCAATGATTTAAAGACTTTGTATGACCTAAAAAATATAAACGTAAACACAGGGTCAAATTACAGTAAGTAATCGTGTACATTTAGAGGTAATACATACTTCTCGATATTGTACAATTTGTATGTGTCATTATTATTGCAAGCGATTGTCAGGCGTAAAGTGTTCAATTTACAATATGCCAGTGTTGAAATAACTGTAATATGTTGTTGTTATTTACAGTTCCATGTGATGGACGATGCGGTTCATTCCCACATTCCCATTGTGACCACAGCACGAACAGATGCACGTGTGACCCCAGATGCACCGGAACTCCATACGGCGGTGCACGTGCTGGATGTATATGTGAACAACGTGGTAGTGGCCGATATTATTAAACCTGAAAAGACAATACTTATCTGTTTTTTACATAATGTTAAAATAAATATGTATATGTCTCAGCATGTATTTAATATATACTTGATGTTTTTTTTTTGTAATTTCTAATATTGATATCAATAGTATATAGTGTTATTAACCAGCTAATTCCATGTTGGTCAAGTTATTAGGCCAAGGTCTGTCATATTGGCCCAAGGCCGCAAGCTGAGGGCCAATGTGACAGACCGAGTCCTAATAACTTGGCCGATGTGGAATTACATAATGTAGCTGATTAATGAAACTTTTATTAATTAACTATAGGCCTACTTGTATATTATTGGCATCAATCTTCAATTCACAAAAACAAACTAATTCAAATTCAACAAATTTGATAACAACAATTTCAAAATACATGTGTTGTTTAGTTGGTAATTTCTTGTGAACTATAGCTATAGACACGGACTGACTGTACTTCGGGTTTTTCTGGGGAGGCATTACATTGATATTTACGGTACCTCCTGAGATATGTGCACCACCTAACAGGGAGAAGGGCAGACAACCTTGTAGTTCAGAATTCGCTATTGAGTATGTACTACCAGTGTATCATGTAGCAATGTTTGGTTAAACTCTCTTAACACTTCGTATCTAGTATTGTCATGCATTAAAACCGCTAGCATGTCTTCGACATTTTTGGCGGAGCTGTCGGATGTTCGCTCCATGGTTTGTTGTCTTCTGGAGCAGTTGGCAACGGACATATTCTTTGCTAACTGCTTTCATACTAGCTACCGTACGCGTATGTCAAACGGCAATGAAGCGTTACTGAAGGTGAGTATGGTAGTCATCTAGGGTAAGTATAGAAATGTTCCGAGTAATATGGCGTGCGTTCGATTGGCGCGTTCTCGGTATTTGCCGAGTTTATCACGTATTGGCCCAGTTCGACGATAAGTATTTAATTAATAAAATATAAAGGATATATAATTTTGTGTATATTGTGACGTCGCTTTAATATTGTAGTGTGATGACATGTACAGTTGGGAGCAAACTTAACTTGGTATCTAGTGCACCTCGTAGTGCTCACGTAGTGAACAAGGAAGTACACTAGACAAAACATTGAAGTGCACTCCAGTTCACTTCAATGGTAACTCCAGTTCACTTCAATGTTAACTCCAGTGCCAACGAAGTGAACTCAAGTGCACAACAGTGATTACCAAAGTTTAAAAGACGGAAGTACATATTTCAATAAGTGTTTAAAATGAAATGGGTTGATGTATGATATCAAACTTTAAGGAGAAAGGTAAGAATCATTTAACTGAATATTTCATAATATCGATACGCATATCATTTTTTGATTGCTTAAAATTTAAACTGAACATACACATGTACAAAGAGAAATTGTACAATATTTCTGGTGATTATAAAAAATCTATAGTTGGCTGTACTTTTTCAGAGGAAAAAGTTTAAAAGTACACGTTATCGTAGTTAAATTCACATCACATTTCATATCAACGTTGTAGTGTCAGGATACGGATCAGTAACTGTTATGTGATATGGGTAATGTGGTTTTACCTATAATTTAATAGCACGGGGTCAATAGAGTAATTCGCTTCTTTGGTGTTTTTTTAAAAGGACAATGGCTTTAATTTAATTTCATTAAATTTCAACAGGCTATGCCTTTATTTGTCCTCTCCTAGCCAGAATTACAAACAGACCTACACTATATATAGAAAGAAAAAGAGAACGCTGTCAATGTACATCCAGTAGAAGTAGTTACAGAAATAGTGATACAAGGGGAGTAACTCCCACAGACGATTCGATTGTAAATAAATAAGCCTCATTTATTGACAACAAGGATCCCCCAATGTAAGACAGCAAAAGATCCACAAGCTACTAGGGATTCTGACCATACAAAGTCTTTAGCTATACACTGGCTTAGGTCATTCACCCCAGCAGACCTTGGATCATTGCCATGCAAAACTAGGAGATTTAATTTCTGATGACATATCATTTCGTGTATGTCTTTTCAACGAAAGCCATCATTTTCATCATCGTCATCCAACCACCTACATTCATCAATTCATTTTCATCTACCAATTTATAAAGTAAGATTTCTTTTTTAGAAAGACTTGTAAGCAATATGAATTTGTTTTGCACAGTACAGTAATGGTTAGTACATATAGGCCAATGGCTTCATTAGTTCCATCTTATATACAGTACTAAAATATATGCTTTACTGATCGAGCCAAAGTTGTATACAAACAAATCAAGAAAAGATAACATTCCAGTTAAATCTTACATCATGACATGGCAGTACTATATATATATATATACACAAAGGTAAGCTCAACCTAAAGATGTGTAACCAAGTTGCTTTCTTTTAGGAAAATTTAGAAAAAAATCTTAAAGTTGGTCTGATTCTGATTTCTTTGTTATATATGTATACACGTGAGTTACATGCACATGATGATGGTTGAATTAGAACATACATTCCCCAACCACAACCCCTTCCCCTAGCCTGCTACTGTGTTCCCCACACCAACGTAGCAAGTATACAGTTGGCCTGCATTAAGCTGGTGGCACAGTTATTTATTGCCACCTGTTAAAATGATGACAAAATTCATGGTCACAGGATACAAGCACCTGCAGGCAGAGACGTATAATGTATTATAAGTCTCTGCTGCAGGTAAAGTTATAAACATGTACATAAATGAAATAAGTTGATCGTATCAAATAAAGTTTCACAGGGAACCTCAAGTTTTAATTATACAGAAAATTGAGTTATAACTTTACCACAGTGACAGATTTAAAGATGGTTGCTAGGGCAATGTAATCACCCGCTGACACATATTTTTCTTTTCAATATGATATCTACCTGAGAACATATGAGCTATAACCACCCACTGACCATTCACCTGTGGTTACATGTGACTCTGATGGGCTGTACCTAATCTTGAACACCTTGTATGAAGGCAATTAATCCTGTCAATTAATCCTGTCAATTAATCCAGCCCATTGTATGTCCAGTAGATAATATTCAATTTATTTCCGTAAGTTTTACAACTTATAGGATTTTTTCAACAAATAATTCCATATAAGTACAACATATATTACATATTACTGGCACATTCATCACAAATCAGCAGCAACAACAACATCATCGAAATCATAATTCATCGCTTTCATCATTATCATTATCATCATCATCATCGTCGTCGTGGCCGTCGTCGTCGTCTTATAACTCATGTAACCCTGGTAAATACTAGCCGCAATATATCGCTCGGCTATAGAGAACTTCTCTTTAGCTCGATCGGTTGAGCGTAAGACAAGTAAGCCAGAGGTCCCGGGTTCGATCCCTAGCGGAGGCAGTGATTTATATTCAATTAATCATGCGCTCTGTTACATTGGCGCCCACGTATGTAGATCATGTAACGCCTCTTCCATTAGTCGCTGGTAAGTTGCTGGAGCGTTAGCTAATCCAAAAGGCATCCTGGTATATTCGTAGAATCCTAACGGTCCTACAGTGAATGCTGTCCGCTCCTTGTGGTCTGGATGAACCTCCACTTGGTGATATCCTGACTTCATATCAATGACAGAAAAGAACTTGTTTCCGGCGAGGGCATCCAGTGTCTCATCAATGCGTGGCAAGGCATATGCGTCCTTGACAGTTCTCTGGTTGAGCTGGCGGTAATTCACGCAGAGACGTAACTTTCCGTTCTTCTTGCGCACAAGCACAATGTTAGAAGACCACGGTGAGTGGGATCGACGAATAACTCCTGCCGCTAATAGCTGGTGCAGATGGTTACGCACTTCCTCGAACATTGACGGAGGTATACGTCTACAACGCTGCTTAAATGGGATGTTGTTGTCAAGTTCAATCCTGTGCTGAACTAATGATGTATGCTCCAAGTCTGTGTCACTGGTGGAGAAGATGAAGCGATGTTTCTCCAGGAGTTGTCTTGCTCCTTCCCGGTCTCCTCAGTCAATTCTTCTACGCTAATGGGCTGAAGCTCACACATCAAAGCTCGAGGCTGAATCGTCACCGTTAATGTAGTAGGGTTGGTGACGTGGACTTTCACAATCCCTCTCGTGTCATTGTGATATGGTACTAAAGCTGGGGTGATATCAATATCCTTGGGTATCCGAGAACCTGACGTAGGCTGTATCAGTGCACAGACTGCAGGGTATGTCAACTTCCTCCCTATAAACCCATCTATGGTCAGCGCTGAATTGGGACGGATGGTTATGGGTTTCTCTGAAGCGCACCTTACAAAAGCAAGCCGAAAGTCCTGCTTCTTCAGTTCTCGTTCCCATAAAACCATGCATCTAAAAGCTAAGTACCACGGAGTCATGAGCTTAGCACACTGTAAAAACGTTGATCCGTATTCCAGTTGGACTCTGTCCATAAGAATTGACATCAAATTTGTTCCAATCAGAATAGGCACATTAGAATTGTAGGGGCTGTCAGGAACCACAAGAAAAATACCACTAGCAATTGTGTTGCTATCTGTCAGCAAACCTGTTCCCTCAAACTGAAGTGTCGTCTCTAAATATCCTTCGTATGGCAAACCTGTCCATCCGCACACTCTATCTTCAAGATGAAATCTAAAGACTTGACCTCCAAGTGACTAAGGTGCTGTGTATGGAATGACTTACTCACTGACGAAACAGTGGAGCCAGTGTCCAGCAACGCTTTCGTCTTGAAACCTTCCACTAAAACACACACTTCAGTAGGAGAGCCAATCAAATCTGGTGGTTGTGGGTTCCTGTCCCGGCCTATCGTCTGCCCCTTGACGATGGCCGCTGTCCGTTTAAATCCTTCCCCTGAATATCCACTTTCGCCCTGCATCCTAAAGCGATGTGGCCAACCCTTCCACAACGAAAACACACTGGTTCATCAGGATTAACAGAGTTCGAGTATCCAGCAGCCGTATCACCATGTTGTGGCTGATTGGGGAATCGTTTTGCCTGTTGGTTGTAATACTTCCGAGATCCATAAGCTTGTTGGGAACCCGAAGTATCCTTCTGTTGATATCCTTTATCACTGTCTCGCCGTTGCTTGTTATCCTCCTTCAAACTCTTGACATCTGCTGCTAGCTGCTGCACAATCCCCTTGATCTCCTTAAGTCCTCCCTCCTCAGCTGAAGGGGTGTCAATAGCTGCCTTAGAAGTAGCTACATGTTTCTTGGCCGTTGTCTTTTCTTCTGTAGTTCTTTGGTTCTGATCTTCCTCAGACCTACGTATGGCAACTCGAAGTTCATCAAAGACCTTGATGCGATCCAGTATATGAGCAGTCACATCCTTCAACGGAGAACAAAGGCCCTGCCACAACATGGTGCACAGCATATCGTTGGTCTGTCTGCTCTCAACTTGTCCACCTTCTACAGCTTTGGAGAGTAACGTCTCAAGTCTACAGCTCCATGACGACACACTTTCATCAGGTTCCTGTCGAGCACTGTAGAACTTGGCAAGATACATCTCTGACTTTACCACAGTACCATATATACTGTCCATCTTTGCCATAACTTCCCCTGTTGTGACGGATGCTGGCAGAATAGATCTCACTCTAAGAGCTTCTCCCTTCAGTGAACTTCTAATAGCCTGTGCTACTGCATGCTGAGGATGTCCTTCTCTAACGATACACTCAACCTCTTTCCTCCAAACATCATATGGTACATCCTTCTTATCTTTATCACCTGAGAAATGAGAAATCTTAGGAAAGTGCTGAATGGCAGAGGTGGTATACTGGGTATGAATCTCTTCCTTCACTCTTGCCTTACTATCCTCACCTTCCTTATTTTCATCATCTGCCAAAACACGATCCTTCATCCATGACTGGAAATCCTCAAGAGTATCAAGCTTCGGTTTGGTCTTCATTGCCTTGAAATGTGCAACCTACTTAGCCACTTCCTGCTCTGTCATCTCGTCCTTGTCCGCCATGATGTATGGAATTAGTGTACAGAGTGCAAAGAAGCAAGCGATGAACGTCAACAATCACTAAAGTAAAGCATTTGTTGTAAACAAGAATAGGGGAAAAAACACAAGTCCAATAAAGTAACAGTTTATACTGAAATAAAAAGGAAGTAAAAATAAAAATATCAAGCAAAAGACAAGCTATACAAATGTAAACATGCACAGTACTTAATACTTACCTGCGTTAATGAAGGACTGGTATATTCAGCATCGACAGCAACAATCACTAACTATAGTGATAACATTGTTATTAAAGTAATATTTATAAACACTGTAAACACAAAAGCCCAGAGACAACACACTCGCACGCACAAAACACTCGAAGAATCTAAGATACCGAAATATAAGACATTACTGTCTACTAATATATATATGATATAATAATATATAATAATATAATGACCCGAGCCTAGCTAACTACCAGTAACCACTAACTTCTAGTAACCACTGATTAGGTCTAATTAGTAACCACTGATCTGAAAGTCCAAGGGGGGGGGGTATCTTATAAAAAAATAATTATATATTATCTTATTTCGAATTACACTGAAAAGAGACAAGAAATTAAGCCAAAATCATTATGAAAATGCAATTAGAAAATCTGATTCGATAAAAAAAAATACTGAGGAAAAAATAATAAGTAGCAGTCAAGTCTAGGTCACAGTCTCGCTATCTACCGCTATATGGAGAAAAACACAAGTGTGAATTACCACAAAGTTTATCAAAAAAATAAAAAATGAAAAGAAGAATAATATGGCAAAGTTTTACAAAAATATAAACAGAAAAGAAAATATGAAATACCAGTGATATGACAAAACCAAAATAAATTTAAACACAATCAATCAAAATCTGAAAAGAAATACAACTATGTTCAATACAATTATTTTCAATACAATTCTATTATTCAATGCAATATATCAACCAATAATCATAAACCATGTGAGAAAAAAAAATGTCAATGTTCAAGCACAATCTCAATATATTTACGGACTGGCAATCAATGTCTCTAGTTCAAACAGCTTCTGCAATATCTGAATAATGTTTGTAGTCTATGAATACTATGAAATACCTTGTTCTTCAGCTGGAAACGCCGAAAGTCGAATATACATTGCCATAGCAATTCCCAAACACACAATATGACACCATCTTGGAAAGTCTGAATCACTGATGTGTTTGAATAAGGTACGGAAGCATATCTCCACAAGAATGATGAAAATTGGATCTCTATCCGACGAACGCTTGAATCACTGACCTTGACCCGATCAGCTGATAGCTATATATAGACAGACGAGTAAACACTCATCACGGAAACATGGCCGATGACTACTGTACTGTACTGTCGAGGGTAGTCCTCACTGGAGGCTCCATATGTAACCGGGCATCAAAATTGACCACCAAGTCGTTATTTGTCGTGAATTCTTTTTTCAACATAGGTTTAAACACCTACACTCTGTAACAAACACAAATTAAAAGACTACAATTACTCAGAGCGTATACACATTACACATATAGGTTATAAGAAAGGGAGGTAACTCGTAGATATCACTAGTTACATTTAACACGAATATAAACTATAAATGGACACATTTAATTACATTTCTACTGAATTACATACGAAGTTCTCTTAATACATTGACTAATTATAAGTTAATTCGCGATTCTATCATCTTATATGAAACTTTATGAATGTGTTGGGTCATTTTAGTTTCAACATTAAATCTATGTATTTAACCAATTACCAAATAAAATCTTCAATGATATACTGTTTTCAACAGAATAACAAAGGTAACTAATAACAAAGCGTTATGTGTGTCAGTGTGACATTTATACCCACCTTTATCAGATACAAACTATCTCTGGCTAAACCAGTTAACAATGGGTTAATTATATCACACACAAATGATACAAGGCAGTGACTGTCACTGTGGCTATCTGTTAAAACATCGACGCGGATTTAAGAAATAGCCTAGCTTTTAATAGAGTGTCCGTGGTCGAACGTGTTAAAACGAAACTAATGACGCATGATTTAATTGTTCTTCGTTAATGAGGTACACCGTCTAGTAATTATTGTGTGTTACGTGAAACGATACGTTTGATTATATTAATCAATGTAAATAGCCGCGTCCATTTAAGGCTAAATGAGACCTTACAGATTATACTTGTGAATTGTGTAAGAGTTATCACCCCTGATACAAATTGTTTCCATTATTCAAATGGTAAAAATGTTGTGTGTTACTGAATAATCAAAGGCTTTTTTAAATAGAAATTATTATTTATAAGCATAGGAATACACAATAACTTAGCAAATTGTATGTAATCATAGACATTTTACATGCCTTTAAATGCAATTTGATATGACACTGACTTGTGATATTATATAACATTCAACTATGTTCTGCAAAGTTCAGTCAAAACATAAACCAAAACACATGATGTAATAGCACCAATGCTTCTTGATGACGTCACACGTTATGTCCTCGGCATCATCTTCTTCGTCACTTGACTTGTATTTTGATGAGGACCTTGAGAATGTTCTGTAAATCAACAACAACAAATTATCAACCTTTCTTTTTGGCTTGTACTATATGAGATCAAGGCAAGACTTTAAAATCGAAAATTCTAAAAAAATAAATATGTTTCTGGTGATATATTTATATGGCTTTATATAGTGATCACCTACCGTTGAACCCCGTATGCTGGCTGTCGTATCACAGGTGGCGCTTGCGTTTCCTGAACCGGAAGTGACCTTTCTTTTTATGTGGTAGATGTTGTAACTGTTCATAAATGGCGAATATTCGTGAAACAATGTTAGTTTACTGGTACACAAAACATTTTCTTTCTTTTCCTGGTGGTAATCTATTACAGGCACTGGGTAAGGGTCCACAATGGACGAGAGTGGCCCCGGCACCTTTTCATAACTGGAACGAAAAGACAAACGAGGAGGATAGCGCTTGCCCATACTTGTAGATAGGGCAGATCCTAAATTGGCATTGCTATGTTCATCACACGACTTCATGATTCACTCCGTGAAGTTTAGTTCCTACTACGATTATAGAAACGCCATTCATCCTGTAAATGAAAATGAATCGTGTATCTGCTAAGTATTAAATTCCACGATCTAACACGAAGGGTTAGCAACGGTGTCATTTTGTGGAGATCTCACTTCTTATCTAGCCAACATTATCAAGTTCCTTGGAAATGTGTAAGGATTTTTTGTTTACCCACAATGGCATAAGTTGATATTATACGAAAAAGTCCTAGAAGTACCAAATACATTTGATGATTCATGATTCTGCAGTCACTGTTTTACAGTCGAATGAGACAAACCTATGGAATATGGGTTTATTATTTTTAAGAGTCAGTTTAAAACAACGAAAATCAACAGAAATGCAAATGTAACTTATAACAGCAATGAGGGAAATCAATGTGTTCCCCACATTCCCCACGAACTAATAACGTAAAATGGCAAGTGTGAGTTCCCCACAACGAAGTTTGGGCTAAACTAATCACGTACTCTCCCTGAGTGATCTGAATGATTCATAAATCCAGTATAATATTGAGTTTCAAAAGAAGCTTTAGTATGTGAAAAGAATTTCTTTTTTTCCAATTTTTGATTCAAATTACTTTTCTATGTCATCGCTATCGTTATTTGAGCTTTGCAGCATAACAAAATATAGGAACTAACAAAACTACGTTGCATAAACGAAGCGTACAAATTAATTAAGTAGCACGTATTAGGTTATTATATAGATATTGAATTGTCTCCGAAAAGGAGTTATATTCACAATGCATTTTTTTGTCTGCATGCCACCAAATTTACAATAATTTAACCCATGTTGGTTAAGTGAGATGTGATTTTCTTCATTTGAGAACAAAAATGAAAATGAATGAAATTACAAAATTATGCAAATTCCTGTTATGCAAATATGACCACAGATATGAGATTCGGTCCAGACAGTGTAGTATTGCGTATGTATGTCTTGCTGTTAAAGGACTTGTAGACTTTGTACATGTATGTGACCCCGCAACATATTGAGACAGAGAAAGATTAAAGAAAAGAAAAATTCGAACTAAAATTATATTTTTCAAACAATAACTTTAGCCAAATAATACAAAACAAAAACAAAAAACTCACCAGCATGCCAAATCGCTCTTTCGGTTATTCCAGAAACTGACCCATACAACGTCAGACCACACTGACCAAAGCTGGACTAGAATTGCTTTTATTATAATAACGTAATTAATTACCCATCGCCTACACCATTGACAGATGATATATCTATAATGATATATTTTCAATAAAGCGACCCAGGGCAGTACATTATATTGGACAGATTATCAACATTTATGTAATAGGGCAATGACCAAAGGTATATCGGACTGACCTATGTGTACCTGTAGGGGAAACTCGTTGTGTTGAGTGTATGCATGCTACTGGCCCTTGTTGATGTTAAAGTAAAAAGCCTTAAAGAGGCTTTAAGACGAAACGGTTTTTCATAGATTAAATCAATAGTAACAATAATAAAGGTTTATGTGTATAAATAGCCTTTGTCATTTTATAATATCTAGATCTGGTAATGTTACCTACGAAAACATATATTCCATTACAATAGGACGGACAGACAGTCGTATCATTTAAGCGATGAAGTAATGCTTTTTTCTCAACTTTGTTATTGGTTTAAAACAAGTTATTTCAACGTGTATTAATCATCTTGTTTTCCCGGATGGTATCGCTTTTAATGTATGATGTTATACGGGTAATTAGGCTAGTCAATATTATGTTCGAATTTCAATCTTTTGATACAACTAGGGTAAGATATTGTCCATTTATGAAGATATCACTGTAGCAGTAAGCATTAGGTAGGATGTTATTATTTACAGATAAAGATTGTGACAACAGGGCTCACAAATATCAGTGACCATCATTCCTCCACCTTTATTACTCATCCAAAATTTATAAAACAAATCCGGATATTCCGGATTTATCGGAGTATGGATATGGAAAATGATTTTACTCAATATCCGAAAAATATTAATAAGTGCAATATTACCATTACTATTAATGATAACTCCGCTTTGACTGTTTCACGAGCAGAATATCTGTACCACCTGACCAGTATAATATAATAACCAGAGCAACATTAGAGTCGGAAAGAAAACAACATTATCTTTAAATGGGTGTAGATTTAATAACTGAAATGAATACAGGTTGTACAGGTATATGTACACGTATGAACATATAAAACAGGATACACATCAGAATCACAAGTATATAAATCAAACTCTACCTTGGCCTCCTCTGGTATACCGGTAAGGGGTGGGGACGTTTATGTAGGTCAGTCTTGATTTATACCGTTAATATATTGACATACATTAACATACACTCCTTTTCTTTCCTCCTCTCCTTCTTGGCTCCATTTAAAATTATTTTATTATTAACTGAAATTAGACAAAATGTATTGCACATAATTGGAAGCACTGTTTACGGTTAACCTTTTCCGGATAGACGTCTTTATATAAACGTACTTGGTTGATTAAATTATCTTTCTTTTCAAGTAAATATTATCATAAAAAGAAAACAAATTGTTTTAAAAGATTTTGTGAAATAATAATAAAAGAAAAAGAAAACAAGGATAAAAATACAACATGTAAAATGCAGTTTCTCTAATGTAACGGTGAACGAATCAAAGACGTTTCCACTCGGTTTCGTCATTATTCGACTTACATCCGGGCTATATGTAACTTAAGAATATACTTCATGTAAGGTAACGCCTTAATTCAAACATCTTGCTATGACTAAGAATAAAAAGTATGATACATGTAATGATAGAATATGAACTGATACATGTCTCCAATATTTTATCAAAAATGTTAAGTATTTACGCTGTTCTATTTGATCTAAGCAGTTAACGTGTAAGAATGTACGCTGTTCTAATTTAGCTAAATCTCTCGCCAACGAAATGGTAGTTTTAGCCCAAACTCTCTATTATGTACTTCAATCTATCATTACTTCAAACTAGTCAGGTTGTAAGCTTCATACAGTTATATTGATTATTTCCTATTAAGCTAGAAAAAACTACTAAACTAGAAATGTATTTACAAACTGAACAAGATAGATTATATATATACATATATATAAATATTGATATTATTTGTGTTTCAACAATGCACCCAATGCGATATGCTGTTTCGATTCTCCTATCAGCAGCCAGCAAAGTTCATGTATTTTTCCTCTTATATACATGTACCATCAATCAGAGCAGTTATCATTTAAACCCCATCAAACATTTGAGGGCACAACATTGAGTCCCCAATTATGCAGGGGGTTTTCACAGTTGTTTACTCCTGCAACATGCTGTCGGAAGCAGCAGGTTTATTCTCATTTCAATCCCCAATCTGAAGGGGAGGAACGATAGTCACACGCAAAAGTAACAATAGCTACACTCGTACATGTAACAATAGATAGATTCAAACGGTAAATGTGTCTGGCTAAAATAACCGCCAACATTAGTACTATATCACGATAGATTTGTTGTATTGAAACAATCCAATTACATAGTAACATTATTTAGCATGTTCTACTTTATTTAATTCAACAACAAAAATTTCGTCATTTCGGTCATAAAGAACCAACAAAGCCAAACTATTGGTTGATCATAATTTCTTTTTCAGACAATACGGATCATTTAAGTGAAGTCGACTTATCTACTCTCTGTTCCAAATACAATGATATACATATTCGCTAAATGCTGTGTCAAAAGCGCGATGCATATTAAATTGTATCGGATCTACATAAGTTAATTTGACGCTGACAGTACGTACAGTAAGAATACACTGAACAAATAAAATGTTGATCCTTGGGTAGTTACAACTCAAGCGCCACCTGTTGTCGTTTCAATGACATTCGGGGTTGTTTCCTCCCTTCGATCCAGATATCCAGCATCTCCAACGTGGATTTTCCATATGAGAACGTTAGCTCCACTACTGCCGGTAAAATCCATGGAATTCAAATGAAATTTGTGTAATTTGTTAACAGAAAACCACAGGAAACCCTCAGTGTCAAAGTTAAAAATATCAACGAAGTTAATACATTTGTCGTCAGACATGAAATTTGTTAGAGTTCTCATTTCCACGTCATTGAAATTATCTAACCCCTGTAATGATTGATCATATTCGATGTTCCATCTGTAGATTGCGTTTTCAGCAAGAGACGCGAAGTAGAGGAAGTTTTTCCTGCTATAAGTCATGCCAGCTGTCTGGGACGGTCTATTTCCAACCTTCCGAACGGATCCCGCGAAATCTGACCCAGGGATGGAGGTCACGCTTGTGGGGATCTGATACAACGCGTAACCGGAAACCGGAGCGTAGTATAGATACTGCATGTCATGTGACATTGCGATACCATTGATACCAGCAGCGACCTCAAATATTTCCCCCAAGATGGTGATATTTCCGTTTCCGGGTTCCGGCAACATAGATGGGTGAGAATGATAATGTGAAACGTTCTGTATACGGTCATATACTACCAACCGGAAGTCAAAAGTATCGGATATGTAGGCAAATCGAGGCTCATTGTCGCTATATTGGATAACGATGTCATTTAGGAAATTTGTTTTATGATTCACAACCTCATTTGGGAATTCATGTCGAGTGACCTCCTCCATTGTATTTATATCATACACGACAATTTTAGCAGGACATAGATTTTCTGTTTCAGTACCATCAGTTGACAGAAAGTTGATTCTTCCGGTATCAATTATCCACATCCAGCCCGTGTTCGGATCAATCTCCATACCTTCCACATACTGCAAGGCGTGACAGTTTCCCAGCTCTTGCATGTCCCAGCTAGGAAATGCCTGTAATACCGACGTCCCGTTTTTAACAGCAATCTTATTAAGGGTCGCTGGTACGCCGAGCCGCCATCTTGGAACAGTGACGTAAACATCGTCGCCATAGACTTTCATTCCAGAGATAATGTTATTGTTAGGAATGTATTCTTCGCTTTCAATCGCATCTTCACGCGCCGCATCGCTGGACCAATCGTAATCAATTACCGTGAATTTATGTATAATTTGCGGATCATTGCACTCATTTTGACTTAGTGACAATGAATAATGGAGATTGGTAACCAAGATAATTACAACGAGGGACACACAACATTTCAGTAGTTCCATCTCGAACGAAATTTAAGAAATAGATACAAAATGTATTTTCCGGATTATTTATATATGGAAAAAATAACAGATATAAACTCAAAATTACCAGATCCGGGTATAAACAAGAACCATATCCGGGTATCGTAACTTGAAAACAGTCTGTAAGGATTGTCATGTTAGATGGAATAGACACTGATGTAATTATGCAAATATAAATCATGAGGGGAATCTCTAAAACATCCTGATTGTGGATAGCCGGTATATTTGAACTATGTTAACAAATATTTTTATATACGTACATGACAGGTTTAAGGTACGGTGTTAAGTATTTACGAGATGTTGATTTGAATGTCATGGGGTGTATTTGATCCCGGCAGATGACGTACTCTATTTCTTAACACGTGTCCTTTAACACGTGTACACTGCAAACTGGGCAGAAACGTTTACTAACACAAGTTTATCCGTTCTAAGAAGCCTGTTTCGAAGAACTATGACATCAAATGATGTCTTGATACTTGTATGTCTATCATAGTATCGTTATAAATAAGCATAAACATAACGCAAGAGTAATGACCATGCACTTTGTGCAATGTTAACGTTTTTACTAGATGATCCCGTCGTTTGGCAGCTCTGGTTAAACTGTAGGAAAACCTTATACATGTAGTATCTATGCATTAACATGTACCTTCATGTCTAACTACTCTCATTGGTAGTCTCCGAGCCGGGACATACCATACCTTAAAATGGTAGTTGTTATTCCCTGTTTAACGTTTAGCATTTAGGGTTATCGCAATAACTTGTTAAGCCGTTATAAGTATAATGTGGAATACTTTGCTGGGTGCCTTAATTAGGTATGGTATTTCAGCACTCTAAAGTCGGCCTCACATCCGCTCTCTCACAAGGACGTAAATGAATCAACATTCCATGCCTCTAGCTCACACACACACATGCACGCTTAAATTACACTCAAGGAGGCAACCTCGCTAGGTAATTATATTCTGACGAAGAGCTAGACATGTGTGTGGGATACATCATCAAACCAAAACCTGAATATAGGGAAAGAGAAAACAGCGAATATCATAATAGGGAAAATCGATGGAAATTTCGGTCCCAGTGAAACTATACAATGGCACCATGACATTTCAGAGAAGACTTGTTAACTGTGCCCCAGGTCGTGGTTGACCTAGATACTCCTTAAATTGGCGGCAGGCTTTTGTCATTTGTCGTGCAGGAAACTTTACCCTTCCAGGAAACAAGTTATGAAAAACGGATAAATAATTCCTTAATTTGACCACAACATCGATGAAACTCCGGCAAAAAAATACCAGAGGAAAAAATAATATAATTTGGCCCTTTAGATGTTATTTCTATTTATAG